AAGGTCAACCAGTTTTATCCCAAGGAAATGATTNTTCATACTTTATGAGAAGATTTCAATAATTTCGCTCCGCGGAAAATTAAATTCCTCATAAAATATTTTAACTTGTGCAAAAAACATTTTCAGCGGAAATTAGCGGGAAAAATCTGAAAAAAAAAAACGGAAATCCGCGGAAGAATCTCATCCCTGTGAAATGTACTCCTCTGACCATCGAGTGTTGAACGATTGTAATAGTACCAGTCACAGACCAGGTGCAAATGGTTAATAAAGTGAATCGAAGTATATTTGCGAAATAAAATCGTGTCAATTAGGAATATACAGCAGTAGTAATAATTTACATGTTGGAAAAAATCTTGCCATCGCTAATGAATCCCTTTATTTAATTTTGACAAGCAATATTTTTGCCAACCATGTATTTCTAAATAATTTATTTAATGTTACTAAACCAAACATATTTTGCGCAAAAAAAATTTTTTTTTGGCATTTAAGTTTTAAAATATAAAAATTATGCACCATTTAATTAAAATGTATAGCATATGAAAAAAAAAATTCTAGAGTTTTATTATTTTTTGAATAAAAACTATTTTTTTTGAATTTTACCCTCTAAACATTTAGTTCATCACATGAATAAATTTAAAAATAAAACTCTGGAGCTCAATCTTTGATTAGTTAAAAATTAAAAAATCGTCTTTATTTAAAATTCAAAAGTATTTTTTTAAATCTTTTATAAAAAACGAAATATAATTTCTTATTTAATGGATTTCAAGGTGTTCCATGTACATGAATACAATTTTTACTTAATTCTTTAAACAAAAATTATAATGTTATCGAAATTGTTTTAAGAAATTAATTTAGAACTACAAATTCCAAAAGTAAAAACAAAATTTCTAAAGATTTGGTAGTTTCAAAATAAATCAAAACTTCTTGTTCTATTCCAACATTGAAATTTTGATTTCTTTTTTTTCAGTCTGGATATTTTTTACGTTCACTATTTTAATGAATTCTGTAACATTTTCCTGTATTTTAAATTTAAAAATATATATACAGTCAAACCCCGTTATAGTGAACTCCCGGATATAGCGAACGAAATGTTCGCTCCCATGCATTGCTATACATATATATTTTTTGTGGATATACTGAACGAAAAGAAGAAATTGGATAGTATGAACTTTTTTCTGCTGATTTCTTTTCTTCATTTTGAAATTTCTACATAAAATAGTAAAACCGATTTTTAGAACCATCTATTGAGCGTAGCCATTTTTTCTTGTTTGCTTCTTCTATATCAGTTTCCCATCGCTGAATTTTTTGTACGCAAGACGAAGTCATAAAAAATAAAAGTGAAAGCATTTTTTGTTACTACATATTGTTTTTTAATCATTTTTGTATTTCCTTTTTTTTGGTCATTTATTTAAATAAGGTGTCATAAAAGGGAGAAGTTCGGAAAAATGAGTTAAAAATGTTTGCAGAACGGATACAGTGAACCGAAATTTTGGTCCCTTGAAGGCTCACTACAGCAGGGTTTCACTGTATATATATATATTTTTTTTTTTCATGAAGTTTAAGTTACTTTGAATTTCTAATTTCCATAAAAAATACTTAAAAAAATTGTAACTAGTTTTGTTCTGTACTTTTGCTTAAAAGTGCTTGTACTCAGTACTTTTTAAAAGTAACGTCCCCATGCATGCTTCTGAAGTTCCTGCCAAACCCCCTCTTATCTGTTTATGATCTGGCATGTGCTTTCTTCCATTTCTATTATTGATCTGTGCTCTTTAGAAGGGAACTGAATTGGATCGTTAAGAGTTAAAATTCTAATATATAATTGCTTAAAAATTTTATTTGGAAGGTAACTGAATCTTATGGTTTTAGGGGGAACTTTTTCAATACTAAAATCATTCAATTGCTTAAAATTTGTGCAATTTTTATTTGGAAACATTTCCTTCATAAAACTATGAGTTCTTTCTCATTTAGAAGGGAAATATTTGTTTTTTCTTTTACACATACAATGTAATATTTAATTACTTAAAAATTTTATTTGAAAAGGTACTAATGGTTTTGGGGAATGTCATCATCAGTAAGTCCCTCCAATGGTCAAACGAAATATCGTTCTGTCCATTTTATTGATTTTCTGACAGTTCTAAGCTCATCCTTCCGAATGCAGTGTTCTGATTGTTAACTTTGTCATCCAGCTGCGAAAAATTCATATCCTTGCTGACATTAATGACGGCATTCAGCGAAATTTTCGCAATTATGATGGCTCAATTAAGCAAATTAGAAGCCTGATTTTTGTAAGCATATTGCATTTTGAGATATGTAAAAGTAGAGGCTTTTGATTGGCCAAATGTGTCCATCGTCATTGAGAAAATTTAGCTGTATTCCGCTATAGAAAGCCATGGATTTACGAAATTTAGATTTTTTGTGTTAGTTAGATGTTTTGTTTAGATTAATGAGGAAGCTAGCATAAAACTGACGGATTTTACAGTGTACTGATATTTTGTTTAAAAAAAAGTTCATTAAAAAAGGAAAACATAAAATAAACTTTCTTTTCGATTTTGGGGCCCTCTCCTGGGGCAATCGCCCCGTATGCCCCTGCCTTGGTGAGGCTCTGCTACTAAGAGCTATACGAGTTACATTTAATTGCTTATAAATTAAAAATATATAAAATGCTTTAAAGTACGTAAAAATTATAATTTTAAGGGGAAACACTAAGAGCTCTTTTGTTTTCAATTACTTTTCTCAAAAATTTTTCCTACTTTGGAATGTTTCAAATTTTATATAAAAAATTTTCCAATTTGTTCAGTTAGCTTGTGAAATGAGTAAAAAGTAAAATGAATGGCAGACAGATTTCATTTTTGCATTGAAATGTCTTTGATACATGCAAAGTCACTTTTATAATGTTATTGTGGTTTTAACTAATAATCAGAATAAGATTCTTGTGACTACAGTGTTGAAGGGTTATTTTAATTAAGAAACAATCAAAGCTTATTTACACTTAATTCGCAGCTGTTAAAGTAAACTACAATTATGACCAAAAAAAAAATTATTATTAGCGGCTTCCCTGATTATTCCGAGTTAACTGTGTATATTGCAAATATTTATTATCCCGTGTAAACTTGGGCATAGCGGAATTCATCAATATGTTTTGTTTTATCACAGTATAAAAGGAATAATAATCTCCCGTGATTGGAAGTTTGCTAATTTTTGTTTGGGAGTTTTGCTGTTTGTGGGACTGCAGAAGTGTTTTGTGCAATTGTATATACGATGGATGTTGAATTTACATAGAAAAAAAAAAAAAGAGTAAAAAAATGGCACTCACGAGAGAAAGTAATGCAGATGATGAACCTGTGAACATATACAAAGACTAATATTTAACTTTTTCAGGGTGTGTAGCCAAATCTTTGAATCAAAAATAAGCACTTTTTAAAAACTTTTCAAGCACTTTACAAAAATTTTCTACTCAAAAAATTCATATTCAATCAATGATATTATTGAAAAACAAAAACTTTTTATAAACAATTTTAGCGTTAAAAAAAACCCAAAAAGAAACGGGCGTAAATCGAAACAATCAGTACTTTCCCACATCACCGAGTGAATTTAACTTGACCCTGAACTCAGAACAAAAGTACCCTTACCCCCTACGTTAAAAAAAGTGTTAGAAGTAAAATAAAATAAACAAGAACAAAATTAAAATAAATTAAAAAGAAAAACATTTCATAAGGATCTGATATTCTCTATCCAAATAGGAGCGCTCGGGTCTCGGTTTAAAGTGTGCGGGCAGGCACAAGTCATAACGTGGGTACGACATGAAGTTCGCAGGAATGATAATGTAGCAAACTCCTCATTTTTCGTGAAATGCAAGGGATCCACCAGATATCACTGAAGGGAGAAAAAAACAATTTCAGGAAAAAAAGCACTTTTTAAAAACGCCAACTGAAAAAAGCACCTTTAAAAGCTTTTAAAAACGAAATCCCCCAAAAAGCACCTTTAAGTACTTTTTACAAGCGCTACGCACCCTGTTTTTTCATTGGCCCGAGATCATTTGGGATAGTAAACTGATGAAAAATTAAAATTTCAACTTAGAACTTGTGTATTTTGTTTTGTTTTAGTTCCTTGTATTTATTAATGAAATAAAAAAATATGTTGATTTTTTGCATTTTTTTTCTTCGTAAGAGAAGGGGTTAAATCCAACAGAATAAATAGGATATCACATCTATTGAAGGGCTGAGGGTGACTTTTAGGAAGATTATAGGCAACTGAAAAAGATTCTGTGAAAATGAAATAATTTGTTCTAAGAAAACAGCAGGTGACTAAAAATATTTATTTTCAACGGTATTTACAGGATTTTTTTTTTTATAAATTATTTAGTATTAAACAATGTTTATGAAACTTTAATTACAATGTGTAAAAAATGCACATTCTAAATAAAAATTATTTCAACAGAACAAAATCCATTACTTACAAAACAAAGATATCACAGATTTTCAACTAACCTTTTTTTAAAAAGACATTCCTATTATAGGGTGTAAAGGATGTACATTAAAATGAATGAATAAAAATGATTCACAGGGTATGACGGAAACACAAATGCATAGTAATATAAGAATGATAATTAAATTATAAAAGTATACTCAAAAGACATCTTGATTAATGAGAAAAACCTTCCTAAAAGCTAAACGTAGAGCTGCAATGTTGTTATAGAAACTTAACTAAATTGAATTTTAAAATATGCATGCATCGTTTTTATGGTTGAAAACAATTATTTTTAAAAAATAACAAGTTTACTACTAAAAATATTCATTTCTTCCCAGCTAGATAAATTAAGCAACAAATTACGATTAAAATTCAATAAATAACAAGCAAAACGTAACACATTGAGTTTTTGAATGTGCAATGCCAACAGTTGTATTTAAAAAATAAAAATGATCAATGCATGAAGAAGAAAAAAAAACACAGTTTGTCACATTATATACATCAGTGTTCTCCCTAAGCGTTTTTTGATGGGCTTTTAAACAGCCCTTTGATCCCAATAAATGCACCCTCTTTGTAATAATAAGCTGCTATCCTTTAAAAACATTTCTATTTAATTCATATTCCATTTTAAAAATAATTTCCTGTAAAAACAATAATTACACACTGATAAAATTATGGCTTCATTCTAAATACTATTACAAATATTTACTTTGTTAGGATTATTCGCAAACTAGAAGTATCTTTTCAAACTAGAAGTAGAAGGATATTGGTACATTTTAAAACTACTTTTAAAGCAGGTATCTTTTTTTTTTAAATTGCACATTTAAATGTTTATTTTCTTATAATTTTCAGTTCTAATTATAGAAATAAGCAAGTTATTTATCAATGAATCATTTTTCGATAGTTAACTTTTTGAAGAAGAAAAAATATGCAGACCTATTTTTATTAACTACAAATTTTTTTCTTATTTTGATAATGAGAAAGAATTACTTTTTGAAATACACGCATAAAATAGTATAACATGGTAATTTAAAAATTGTTGACAATAAATGTCAGTTATTACATAATTTACACTATATACACATTTTTTACACTGCCCTTTTTTATTCTTAGGGAGAACTCTGTATATTTCATTTAAAGATTTGAGTAATATCACTATAAAACCATAATGACAGTCAGAAAAAAAAAACAGTCATTGCTCTTTATGTTTGAAAACCTTCAAAAACCTTCTCCACCAGCTGGATTTTGTTTTGGTTATGGAGAGGTGATCTTCACTGCTGCATTGAGACATCTCAAATGCTTTCCTCAGTTCATAAACATTCCCCAGTTCAACAGGAGTTGAGGTCATTCCTTCATCTACTCTTTGTCTTCTCGACCTCAGCTTCCTTTTAGATTTACGTTTCAGGATCAGGGTCGATTTCTGGAGGGTGCTCGTAGGGGAGGAGAGGGACTTCTTCAAACTCACCATTATATTCACGACGGATTTAGCGACGGCTTCGGGGGATGCGTTTCTTTCCGAGAGAATCGACCAGTCGGATTCGTCGACGCCGGGAGGTAGCTGCAAAGAAATGTAGATTGAGGTGAGAATAGTTTTAGCCTCGGTACGGGTGACGAATAAGAAGGTCGTCGTCGAGTGTTAAACCCGTTTACTTGAGCACACAAAATTAGGAGCTAAATTTATGATAATACACTAGTCAATTTTGAAAACAAAAAACTTTTTTTTAAATCTTAACTATTTTAATATAGTTATTTTAACACTTCAAGATTTGATAAAAAAGGAAAAAAACAATTATTGCTTCATAACCAGACAAAGAAACTGTGTTGGTATGCTTAAACATCCATCGTTGAATGAGGCCTATTTTAAAACATTACATAATGCATAGATGTAAGGAAAGATTGCAAACTTTAGGAGGCATTGTTAACATCCTTGTTACAGTTGAATAAATATGACGATGATCAACAAAGAAAAGAACTACATCTTTTTAATATTTCATTTTATTTATAAATATTATATAACTTCTTTATTACCTCAGTCCACATACGTACACACAATAAGAAAATTTATAGTTTAACCCTTGCCGGAAAATTCATTTCCATTAAAGCTTTCTGGGGATTCCAATTGATTATTTGAGCAGAATTCGACATAAGTGATTTTTGAAAAATGGACACGTATATCATTTTAAATATGCATATAATTTAATCATTTTAAAAATAATTATTTTCCTTTTAAAGCTTTTAAATTTGTATTTAAAAATAATACAGTCAGGAACATGCCATACGTATACCTTGGTACATTTGGAGAGTGTAGCAGTCTAGTCAAATGTCATTGTGCTATGAGTATTCAATTTTATATCTATTTAGTCAAATTATTATGCATATTTTAATTGTTTAAGATACATTTAATAAGAATTTTGAAATTTTATCAAGAATTATATGAACAGCTTAGTGAAAATGATATTTTAGTGAGCGCTTGATGTTCCTCCTTTTTATTTTTAGTATGCTTGTGAAGGCATAACTCACAAACTTTCAATTAGAACTCTTTTAGCAAGGAAGATTAAAATAATTTATGTGAGCAGCATTTGCTTGTTTTTGTGGATGACATCATCGAATATAATTGGGTTTAAAAATATAAAATACAGATATTTATGCTTAGATTCACAGAATAAAACATTAACAACCTTAATTTGAAGCAAACTGGTATTAAATTTTTTCGTGTCTTCTTAGTTCAAAAACCGATTCAGAAGCAGCGTGAGTGGAATAGGCGATCTTTTTAATTTTGTGCATGAATTTGCAATGTTGTTCATCACTGATTTATTGATTATTTAGTGTTATTTCAAAAAGAAAAACTAGTTTTCACCTAGTAATAACAAACTGAAAAAGTTGCCCAAGTGCAAAATAATAATTATTTTTAATGTGTTTCTGCCTTGAAAAAAAATTTTTTTTTTTACTTTTATTATTACTAGGGCAGTGTGTCTGAAACAAACTAATGCGAACCAGAAGCAAAAAAATTGTATGAAGCGGTTTAAGGGTTATTTCTCTTGTCTTTTTTTTTTTTTTACTATTGATTTGCAAAAAACAAATTTCTCCTCATGTCTTGTATGAAAGCTCTTTTTTCAGTTTTTTTTCTCCCGTATCTCGGCTTTTGATGCCAAGCAAGAGATTGTCTAAGGTTGTTTATTTACTATCTGTCGCCTAGTCACATAAACGGTTCTTCCCACCACTGAATACTCACATAATGTTTACATAGCCAGTTCTTCCACCGCGTATCTTCAGAATGAATAGATTTAGCAATATAAATAAATGTTATATATTTAAATAAAGCTAAATTAAGAACTTTCTTAGAGAAATCTCACTTTTTTTTTAAAAAAAAATGCCACTCAGCCAGTTTTACTGAACTCCTCATATCTATATATTTTTTATAGTTAATGTTTGATTCTTTTTAGTTTTCATTTTGCATCATTAAAATAATTTTAAAATTGAGATTTAAAAACTAATTTATGTAATGCATCAATGAGCTTTCATATTGTATCTCACTGTAAAAAAAAAACTTCATTTTTTTCTGAATAATTATTAAATCATTGCACAATTCTTACTTTAGGTGAAATATTTAAATTTTACTTAGGAAAAACGTAAAATTATTAGCTCTCTGGAAGTATACTTTGTTTATCTTATTATGATGGCAGTTGAGCTCTGCAGCAATGGTTCTGGGATCATTATTAAGTTAATAAGCCTAAAAGGAGATGTGGTTTAAAAGATCTTACTTCAAATATTTTGACAGGCACTCCATAGCATCCACTGGCAGCCCCTCCTGTAGACATGATTGGAATCACAAAATGATCATTCCAAATAAACTCTTCTACCTCGTGCACCACACCAGGTCCACCTACAAAATATTCATTTTGTGAGCTAAGAATATTCTTTCCTTTTTTACTTAATAATAATTTATAGCAATCAACTGCACTATTTAGAGAAGGTGATTTATTACGTCTGTCATTCATCACAGTGAATTTTGAAAGTTTCTTTAATAAAACTGGGTACTTCAAAATACAGGGTATCTGCTACAATTTAGATTTTCAAATTCATGACTTTTCATGATTTTCCATGATTCCAAGAATTTTTCATGAATTAACAAAGTTACTATTTTCACCGAAAAAAACACAACAATAAATTTAAAAAAAAACATTATAACAACATTTATTGAAATGATAGGTATAACAAAAACTGCTATACTCAGCATCTTTATAGATTTTAAATTTAAAAAACAGAGTAAAGAAAGAGTTGAAACAATAAAATAACTGGAAAAAAAAATACAAAAGCAACTAATTTTTTTTTTCTCTGTAGAATTATATTACTAAAGATACTTTTCTTGTTCATCAGAAAGGAAAGAAATACTCCTGATTTTTCTGTTCTCATTTCGGAATATAAAAAAATTCGTCAATGATCAGTTTGCTTCAACTAGAATTTTAAATTGATAAAATTAAAAAAAATTAATAATAAAAATTCTTAAATCACAGAAGTTTAAAAGATAATTCGCTCTAGAAATGATGTTTTTTCTTTCATTTTTTAAAAGAACACCATAATTTTTAAAGAACATGATAAAAACATTTAATATTCTAATAAAATATGAGTGAGTAATGATTTTGTTAGGAATTCAGATGTTTGGAACAAGATGAAATTGGGGGAGGGGATTCTATTTTAAAAATTAGATTTTTTGGAGACCTAAATCCATGACTTTCCATGATTTTTTTTAGAAAATAGAAAAAATCATGACATTTCATGGTAAATTTTGATCAATATATGATTTTTCATGACTTTCCAGGTGCACGGACATTCTGAAAATACAATGATTACTAAACTATTGAAAATTTGGTAATGTTTCCATTGCATAATTTGATATAGAAAAATAATACATAATTAATAAGCTACATTGAATGAACTTGAAAACAATGAGAATGTCGCTTATAATTAAAAACTGTCTAAAAAAAAAGAAGGATATAGAGTAGGCTAAGGCAAAAAATTATCAGATGCTTTTTTGCATTAGAATAAAACTGACTATTCTCATATAACATAAATTAATCTCTCTCCAGTCTAAGAAATATTACTGAGAATAAAAAGTACCTTCAATAACCAAGCATGTGTCCAACAGTCTTGCAACAACAGTTTCTCTCTCTTTGACAGAATCACCTAGAAATACAGTTTTTCCATATGGAAGAGCCTCAAAGCTACCATCAGCAAGGTTTTGTCTAGCTTTGGCTGTGAAATCCTGCAAGAAAACAAATTATGTATCTTTTTAATACAATTTAAATTATGTCTGAGAAAGTTACTTTATTGAACTCTCAAATCACTCTTAAAATTAATTTTTTCCAGATAGTAATTATGAGTACTGGTTTAACAGCTGAAGAGAAAAGTAATTGTATGCCTGATTCTAAATAATAAAGCAACCTAATTATAGAACCCACTTGCTTGGACAGAGTTTTCTTTTATTCAACATTGCCTTGTGTCTAAGTGAAAGTAGTTTTATTTAACAATAACAGTGAATAGTAATAAACAAATGAATAACTATTCATAACATGATAAGATTAGTACAATTTGTTAATTTTAATAATTATGAATGAAGCATCAATCAACAAAATATAAAAAGAAATTGGCAGGTTACAAGTGATATCTGACTAAAGTATATCATGAAAATTATAAGACTTAAAAATGAAAACCAGCACACTATTAAAGAAGGTATCATAAGTTATTCGCTTGTTCATAGACGACATTCCCTTTACTTTTTTAATTAGGGTTTCCATTACATATATCTCCTTTCAGATGCCATCCATGTTTCGAATAATTATTATAATAAACCAAAACATTTCATGATACAACTGTACCATACAATACTAGATTAGACCATTTACTAATTCAACTACTGCTTCAAATGCAGAATGATCTTTTTCAATTCTTTAAGAAAGAAAGTTAAAGGTAAAAAAAATTTAACCACGGAGCAACTATAAATGAATTACATTATAAGTTACAATAAAACTAACATAAATAATATGGCAATAATCATTTAAAAAAAAAAACATGTATTGGGTCATTTCTAGTTTTTTCCTTGCCTAGTTTCTTTCAATTTTTATCTCCAATGCATTATAAGTAGCAGGTTCTCCACTTAGAAATCTCAACCCAGATGAAAACATATACAGGAAATATTAGTATGAAAAAAGTGTATGTAGGTATCATACACTTTTGCATTTAAAAAGTTATAAATTATAATTTTCATAAATACTACATAAACTTTTACCTTTCATAAAAACTTTTTTTTTTTTTTTACAATTTTATTTCTTTATTGTCCAATTTTATAAAATTTTGATATTAAAGCTTAATTAAATAAAAATCAAAATTATAAGCTACATTATTTTACAAAATGAAAATACCTACTTTTTTTAACACTATTGCTTAGATAGATTGAATTATCTTTGAGTAATGGAAAATTATATAAAAAATTATAAAACTTGTTTGAACGAGCACCTAATTTTGTTACAAATAAGTTTAGAAATACGAGTAGAATAGAGTGTGTTAAAACAATCATGAAATGATTGTCTGACTATGAATTACGATGTTCTGTTTTTAAAATACGTCAATACAAATAAGAATATTTGGTTTTAAGTTGCATCATTGCGAATCGAGATGTCTTTTTATTAAACTGCATTAAAACTAATTGGGACGTTTGCTTGGTAAGCATGTGAAAACGAATCGTAATGTTGCATGAATGCTGCTCGAATACGAAGCGTGGTTTTTAATCACGGGCATATGAATCACGATGCCATACTTGTATATTAAAATGGATCTTAGATTTATCATCCCAAATGGTGTTGAAACTTACGAATCGTAATACATGTAAAATAAAAGTGAATCTTAAGCATTAAATTTCGTCCACAAACTATATAAATTGCACGAAAAAAAGACTTTACCCTCTGTTCATAAAATAACTTACAGTTAAATTGTATTGTACAGTTAAACTTCAACAAAATTCCCCATTTTTTGATAGGCCAAACATTAAATGTTAAAAAAAAAATATTTAACTTAGAGAACTTGAATGCAAGAATATAAAAGTAATATTTTGCACAAAAACTTGCCAATTTTAAAATCTCAATTAAACTTAATTTATTAAAAGTTACCTCAGTCATACATTAACCATCATATATATTTATCTTACTAAGAGCCAAAATTAATTTATTCAGAAATAATAATTTTTAAAAACTTGGTATTCTTCAACTACAAATAGGCTTAAGGTTTAAGAAAAATTTCAAAATTAGCAATTGTAAAAAAAAAATTAAAAAAAAAATAAATAAATAAAAATAGTTAATTTTTTCACAAACTATTCTTTAATTCTAAAAAAAATGTTGCAGTCCAATTTTTTAGAAGTTAACTTACTATCAAATTTAAAATTAGCTATTTTTTAGGTTTATTGCAAGATCTTTTTTACAGGCATAAAAATTGCGTTGCTATCAAACTGTTTATACCTCTGAATCTCTCATAGGAAGTATATGAACGACAGACTCTTCATTCTGTTGCTGGTTATTCTCTCTGCATTCATAGAATGTCTTTGCAATGATATCAGCTGCACCAAAAAAACCTCCTGTCACCAGAGACACTCTCTCCACTTTGGCCAACTCTCTTCCAATCGCTCTACAAAATGTAAAAAAACAACTATTTTAGTTTTTGCTTAGAATAAGCTGCTCACCTACCCTCAGGATTGATCCGCTGACAACAATAGTTTATAATGTTAAAAACAAAATAAATAATTACTTGGATTTAGAAAGTAAACAATGGTATTTGGAAGAAAAAATATCAAATCAAAGGAATAAATGAGAAGTAATTTTACTCATAAGAAATCAAATAGAAAAGGTTTTTATTTCCCTTGTATTAAATTTTTCATATTTTCAGAAATTTCAATATAAATTTTAAGATTTATATCGGGGAACACTTAATCCCCTCTCTCTTCTTCTTCTTTTTTGTACTTTAAAAGCACACACGAGAAAAGTAAAAATTGAGATATGAGTACCAGAAATTACAATAACTTTCAAACAACTTGGAATTTCAACTCTGTAGTAATTTAGCTGAGCAGCCCACAATTCTCGAACTAATTACTTTCAGTCTACATTTTTCTATACAATTTCATGCTTCTTTCAGTTTTTCAGCAATCAAAACTTTAAGGCAATCAATAGCCTTAAGGTTACGTAAAGGAAAAAAGAGCTTCCAAACAACATTTAAAAATTTAATAATTAGATCTCTTAATAAATATTACAAAATGTGTGGTAACACTCGTTATAAAACAATAGGACAACGAATATGGCACTCACGGGACCCATGAAATTTTGCATTTCAGAATTAGTCGAATTTCGGATCTCTTTTGGAAATTCCAATACGGCGCCCATATATTACAACAATTCAATTATACCGTTAATTTCAGAAAAATCAATAAATTTAATTAAGTTTTGATCATAGATTATGATGGGGTGAATTTAAAACTATGCCATCTTAAGCAATTTTATTAAAATAATAACCTATATAATAAAAATAACAATATATATTTTTTAACTATACCAAACGCATAAAATATGGAATACAAAAAGCTGCAAAAGGGATAGAATTCACTTTGTCGGTAGTTTCAATGTCGACTGGGTGTGGCCAATTTATGGTCAAATGAAAAATGTGAGGACAAACCAGAGCATATGCACATCTGTCAAGATTGATAGATCAGTTTCTCCCAACTTGCATTTCTGTATTTTCTTTATTGGAAATGCAGTTTTTATTCTATTTTAAACTGCTTTAGAAACAGATGTTTTGTTTGACACAGTATTATTATTTTTTTTTCTATGCTTTTTTTATTACTTACTTCAAGAGAATAAAATTCCACATAAAAAGAGAATATAATTAATTTTTTTTTCTCTTATCAATAAAAATTTCTTTTTTAAAAAAAAAAAAAAAAGAAAGATTGGATTAGGTGCCGAATTAGGGGTCTCATACTATGTGACAAAAAAAATAAATAAATACAGATTTCAAACATTCATGACTAACAGGAAGATGCTCTTATAAATAGTAACCTTTCATTCATGTTCATTGAGCACCTTTGTCATGCTTGTTTTGGAGTGATTTTTTGAACACTATATTAGAATGAATTTGGACCTTCAAATAACATTGTGTTTATGGAAAAGAAAACATTATGCATTGATGGAAGGAACTACTCAGTCTCGTACTATTATGACTTATGTTGTTCGTAATCAGAAATAGTGATACAAAAAAAAGTAAGTTAAATTTTAACAAAACTCTAGAACAAAAAAGTATCAACTACTTTATTCACAGCATTGAAATCAAGAATATCATATCAAAAAATAGTTTAGATAAAAAGAGAGACAAGATTTATAATATCAACTAGCTTCAAAGAAAATCTATAAATGTATTTAAAAAAATATTTATTGAAAAACGTGTAACGTACTTGCATATTTCTTCAGCTCTTTCAGATTGTAGTTTACTGCTACCAGCAACATAAACACACAAGTCTTGGAGAGGTAGGTTTCTTTTTAGAAAATTTACCTAAACACAGGGAAGTTCATGAAAATACATGCAATCAAATGAGGAATAAAAATTGTCTTATTTTAAAGTGTAATTACTAAATAATTCATCTTTGCTTCAGCTGTAGCATCTTTGGGTGTCTCTGAAGAAGATGGATTTAAGGCCCTCTTAACACGTGTCTTCAGAATACTTTCAAATTCAGGATTGTCCTTTTTCTGCAATAAAATATCTATTTAATATCATGAAATGTGCACATCATTTAGAAGAACTCAATTTTGATACAATTAGTTTAATTTTATTCAATAATATTAATCAGGTCCAGAAAAGAATGGTGACTCATTTCGCTTAGTCCACTAATATTTGTCTCAGACCACTATAAAATAAATTATTAGAGGTCTCTTAGGGACAGCAATCAATGGCTTTTGTTTCTCACATATTGGCAAATTTCATTATAAAATAGAACATCGCACTTTTCTGCATTGTAATTTTTTAAAGTTAGTAAATAGGTTTTTTTTAAAATAAAATTTAATAGAGAAAATGTAATGATTAGTAATATCTTTTAGTTATTGATTCTTTAGACCAGTGATTAAATTTTCATAATTTCTGCCCATGATCCTAAGTAACTAAATTTAATTATATATTCCATGTTTAGCAAGTTGATTTCTTAATTTGATACAACTAAAAAAAAAGCCAATATCATAACTGCCAACATGAATAGGGAAAAATCCAGTAGATTTTACGAAATTGCATAAATTTCTTGACACTTGTTACAAAATGTTTTAAATATTTTACACATAGGGAATTTTCGTCATTAAAATAAAAAACTGCAATATTTTCCAGTTATAATTAATACTAAATGAACTTGAAATGTTGTGTATTATGTTTACTTTAAATTTTGAACTGTAATAAGGATATAATTCATTAAAGACAGTTAACTGACTTTTATAAATGATAAATGATTAAAAAAAAAGCCAATATCATAACTGCCAACATGAATAGGGAAAAATCCAGTAGATTTTACGAAATTGTATAAATTTCTTGACACTTGTTACAAAATGTTTTAAATATTTTACACATAGGGAATTTTCGTCATTAAAATAAAAAACTGCAATATTTTCCAGTTATAATTAATACTAAATCAACTTGAAATGTTGTGTATTATGTTTACTTTAAATTTTGAACTGTAATAAGGATATAATTCATTAAAGACAGTTAACTGACTTTTATAAATGATAAATGAGGCCCACTTCTTTATGCATTAGTAACACTTATTTAAGTATTCAAGTAAGTAATAATCTGCTCAAAAATTCTATTTCAATAGGGATTTTTTAAGGAAACTTTTTTAATTTTAGGGAATATTCTAAAATGTACAAAAACCAGGAGAATTTCTATTAAACCAGTGGACCAGGAGAATGTGGCAAAATCCAGTAGAGTTGGCAGCTATGCAATATATAATACTGATTAATATTGAAGATGATTTTACCATAATCATATCATTTCCCATCAATAGCCTAAACCATTTTGGTATTGTGGCAGAATCACAGTTCACAAGGACGACTCGCTTCCTATGCTCACAGTAAAATACCTGTAAGAAAGAAAAAGAATTTATATGTGTCTATGAAATCTCCCGATAAGTTATGTTCAAACAATTTCTGATCAAAAACTGGGTGTTGAGGAACATATTGAAACATTTTAGCTTGCTTTAATAATGAATTTTAATTAATAAATATGCATTTATAAAACTAAACACAGTTTTAATTATGCAATTCCTAAGATTCATTATCTAGTACAATAATATTTTTAATTAATAATAAGTGTGGTTCCTAATTATAACTAAAACACCTCTATCAAATCTCTGTATACCTTATGTTCCATTTAAAAATAAGTTATGATTTTGCTGTATTAAGCCGAACTTGAAAGTAGATCAAAGACATTTTATGCTTGCTATTCAAAAAAAAATAATAATAATAATAATAATAATAAAAATTAGTAGCATATAAATAGACAAATCTGGTTTTGAATGTATGTTGTTGAATTACATTTTTAAATATTTTACTGAGAATTTAGAGTGTTAGGATTATTCTTACCCCTTATTCAAAACAGGAAAATTATAATAATTATCTTTTTTTATATTCCTTTATATAATTTTGTTCATATTGTTTCTCTTCCGAAAGTTAGCTCGGTTTAACTTTATGAAGTGAAATATCTAAACATTTTTTACTCGAGAATTCAAATGTTTATGAGCACAATTTAAATCTTACCTGTTGGTGTGAAAATGCTGACTTTGTATAGGCAGCAGAAACTAATACTATGATCACAGCTGCTTGGTCAACTTTCAGCTGAAAGGTGTGCAGTTGGTCAAGTTTCTCTCGACTAAGAGTTGAGGGTTGACTGATGTCACTTAATTGAGACATTAGGCGAGATAATGGTCTTCGTCCTATTTTTTTTTCAAATAAAAAAAGAATGCAAACTTATCTGTTGATAGTAATGAATAACTGTAATAAAAACAGCACAACAAATTTTCTTTTTTTCATAACTTTGAAATGAATCATTTTTCAACATTTACACTGATTTATGTAACTAAAAATTAAGCATAATACATTTTATGAGAACTCAATGTATTACTTTTTAAACGAAAATGAAGAGCTCTTTATAAAAATAAAGGAACATAAATACAAACAAATAATTGAAGAAAATTGATTAACATTTCAAAGATCAGTAACAGAGAAACTAAAATTAAATAGAAAAAAGTTTCTCTAACAAAACCAATAGTTAAAAAAATGATAAGTTTCTTAAAAAGTTGATCGAGATCACGAAATTTCAAAAAAACTTTCTTTTTTTTTCTCGATAGAACAACATGTCAAGAATATTTTCTCTAAGTTGTAAATCAATCGGAATGGAACACTAGAGGGAGTGCTTTTTGGAACTCTTTTCAATGAACTCCATTTGTTAAGAGCAAAAATAACGAGTTTTTCTAAACTAATTTTTTTAAAAATCATTAGGTGTATCGGTAAACCAAACAATGATGCGCTAACTAAATTTAAATTTTGCACACTTTTTTGAAGGCAAAATTGTCTAGAAATTCAAAGACAGGTATTTTTTACACTAGGAAGCAACTATTTTTCTTTATACAGCTAAATCAAACCAAACTCTTTTTCACATAACTTTAATAAAAATTCAACTATTCTTTTTTAAAATTCTTCACTAGACTTTATTTTCAAATTTTTTTTATATATATATTTTAAACATTGTTGTTTTTTTCTATGTTTTAAGTTTAAATTAAATAAGTCATATTTAAGAAAATATACTCTTATCCTTCTCCCAAAAGAGAACACTTACTTAGTTAGCTATATTGATTTTTTTTTTAAATTTAGTACTTAATCTTTCTTAATGTTGCACTAATGAAAGGGAAAATAATAGTTACCATAAGTAACTCCTGAATAGTTTTTATCACCACCAGAATTAAAAAGTTCTACATCCGTCTGATTGAAAAACACATCTCCCTCTTGTATAGTCGGAAGATGGGGTGTGTTAGGATCAGCAGCGGCGATCTCTTCAGATCCTAAATTTCCTTGATCCAAAAGATCAACAGAGCACCAGACTTCATGACCAATTTTTTCAAACATGTCTTTTAGATCCTGTGCCTAAAATAAACCACTGCTATTACTTACATGCAAAACAATTAAGATATTACTTTTGTCTAATTTAAATAGTTCTTTTGAAATTGAATTTAGATTATTATTTGTGCTTGCTTATGCAAAGAATAGATGTCTTAATACTAAAAGTAGAATAAAAAGGGGAAATAAGAAACATTAGGGATTTTATGTTAGCATTTCGCAGCATAAGCTTTAGTCAAGAGTATTTAGTTTTCATGCTACAAGTTCAAACAATACTAGACATTTTCTTACATTAGTAAAAAGAAAAGATAATAAATTGAAAATTTACAAATGAAAACAAAAATGTAATTTTTAATGGAGGATCCTTTGCATTGTTCTACATACTTTGCTAATATGAAACTTTGCTCAACTATAGCTACACTTTCTGAATGTTCGACTTCAAAGAACCCTGCTCGATACCCTAAATAAAAGCCATTCAAATGACCCTAAAGCACGCCCTCTTTTGATATATTTTTAGTCATTTTAAGGAGAGAAAAAAATTTTCATATTCAATCGCTCTCAAAATCGGAAAGCGTTTTAGATAGTTTTCTAAAAAGAAGAAACTAGTGATCCTTTCTCTTCAGTTGTTACATAAAAATTGGCAATAATGAGTGAGCCTGAAATCTTATTTACATAATAATTTATATTTATGCTTAACTTTACTAATTGTGTTTGATAAGAAGTCAAAACACAAGCTGTTATTATTATACTACTACTATTATTATAACTGTTATTAGATATTTTGCCAGTATTTCTTTTGCAGTGTAAAAATGTTTCTTATATAAATATACAAAATATTAATACAATGTAAAACCTTTAAAATGACCTTTCCAGTGATAAAAAAAATAGGATTTTGTTTTAGTACTTCCAACATGAATCTTTATTTAATAATTAGTAAATTAAAACAAAATACGAGGAATTTCATTTGCACTATAGTTAATGAGCTTCAGTAACAGACAATTCCAATTGTAGAATATTTACAAATAACTCACAAAAACATCTACCTTGCACGTTTACCTTTTTTAGGCATGAGAAAAAAACCAAAATGTCTGAAAATACTCAATTTATGAAGAATAAAAAAAAGAGTAAAACTATTTTAAGCTAAAATTTAAAAAATATCTGTGTACATTGAGAGTTTAATATACTGCTAAGCTTTATTAATAAATCGTGATTAAAGAGAATAAAGTTTAGAAAGAATCCTGTTCTCGATTTAACAAAACAGTCATAAAAATGTTGAAATTCTTTTGAGAGCATTCAAAAGTAATATTAATACAATATATAGAAACATAATAAATAAAAGCATTTTACTTTGGGAATCACTGAATATTGCATTGTTAAAAACAATAGTTATTTAAGATACTTACCAAGTNTATTCTTATTCTCCAAAATAGATCAAAAGAAATATTAATACGATATATAGAAACATAATAAATAAAAGCATTTTACTTTGGGAATCACTGAATATTGCATTGTTAAAAACAATAGTTATTTAAGATACTTACCAAGTACCTTTGCCTGGGATGCGCACTGATCACAATACTTTGTTTCCCATCAACATAATAATCATCTTTTGATAGTGAATAATAATCTTCACCTCTCTGAGACAGCAAGGGTCTGCTTACTTCACGCTATTGGAAAAAATAGCATTTTTATTCTTTGTGTCCAGCAATATGTTTTCATTTATTATCATTTGAACTATTTTTAACGAAATCTGTAGAATTATTGCAATTTCGCAGAGACACGCTACACTAAAATTTTACTAAAAAATGAAATGTCACACAAAATTTTAATAGATGGGCGATTGCAGAGTTAATGCATCTGTTACAAATAACAAATTAAATGCGAAATAAGTTATTCAACGTTTAAAAATAATTAATAGATATACAATAAATTAATGGGTGCAATCTTACTTAATATCAAAAATGACATATTTTGATCATTTTTATCAAAAATTTTCAAATGTACCCAGTTCAAATGCAACACAATTCCAAACGCATTAGGATAATAAATACTAATTTAAAATATTTGCATATTATATTAAGCAAGGCATTAAGAATCTAATATAATTAAAGTAAGTTATCAGAATACAATATATTGATAAAAAGAATAGGACTAGGAGCAAAAAATTGTACAATTGAACCATCACGCTTGCATCATGATAATAATCATCATTTTAAATCATAAACGCTGTGGCGCATCTCTGCAAAATTATAGTAAGTATTTTTTTAAATAACTGTGAAAGCATTGGTTCAATTGTACCCACGTGCAAATTCAAATTCCACAGAAATTATAGTAAATATAAAAAGAATAAAAATATTAATTATCATATAAATTTTAATACAAATATTACGACTCAAATAACTCCAAATGTCAAACTCGATGCAGTAAAACCAAATATTTTGAGCCCAAATGTGTACTTAAATCTATGTAACTTCTTAAAATGACTCTAGGATAAAAAAATGCTTTTAAATAGTTTGGTTTCGGAGAAGGTGGATAAACAAATTTAAAAGGGAAAAACTTTTCCTTTAATATTTGAATCTCTACATTGTCTTCTTTAAATACTTAACTAGGAGAGACAGATTTTAATAAGCATAATTAAAAGAATCGAGGATTCTTATTGCATTTCCCTCAAAATTTAAGAGTTTTAAATTTAAATCTATATGCCTTAATCAGAGACTTCTGCATCGATTTAATAGCTTAAAACATTACATGCACAAATTAAATAGCATATTTAAAATAACCAAAAATAATGTAACCTAGCATGCGGTAATCCAATTATTAAATCTAAGTTTTATTTTGCACACTGAACGCACATCTATGAAATCAAACACTTCTTCCTAAATTAAAAATATAATCATTTTTAAAACTTTAAAATACATATTCAAGTGTATCCTAAAGGATCGTAGCACATAACAGAAGTTTGTTATAAGGCTACAACTGAATTAAGACTGCTTATGTAATGACAGATTATCTCATGAATAAAAATGTTTTATGACACTCATGATTTCTAAACATAAACTTTCAGCATTAAATGGAGATTTCTTTTTTTTAAAAAGTCTTTTTTTTTTTCTCTTTGAAATTGAAAAGAATTCTATTTCAATGATCGGATTATAATGTTACATAAATTAATCTATAATAATAAAATGAAGAGTCTGTGCATGTATCAACTCAAGAATCGTTAATAAAATAGCTAGCATCCTAAAATTTGAACAGTGGATGAAAAGATTCCAAAATTGAATAAAAAAATTTAATTAGGAGAGACATTTGAAAAATTGGATATTTTTTTTCACTAGCTTGTCGCCATTAATAAAAACGAGGAATCGGAAAATTTTCTTTCTTTCAATTATTTCAAAGATTTCATTGTTGATATTTGCTGATGTTCTTTAATGATTAATTATTTTTTAATAGTTATGCCAGAAAAACTCTATGATCAGCATGAACATAATAGTCTTGATAGATTATGTCCCCAAATTATTTGAAACCATGTGTTTCACTTGTTTTTAGTTATGCTTTAAAAGTGTGAATCTATAAAAATCAACAGTAATTGAAATAAATAACAAAATAGGTTGAGTAATGGAAGATAATAATTTTGGTGTAAAGATAATAATTCAAATGAAAATATGAGCTATGTACTAAAAGCAATTATTATTGATGCCAATTATGTTTTATTAATTTTTGCAATAGGCACTAATTGAAATAAAAAATGAGCTATATACTGAAATAAAACTAATTGAAAAATATTATTAAGTTATTTAGAAAATTAAAAAAATTTCATTCTCTATTGATGCTAATGGTACTTGAACTATTTTGGAAAAGCACTTTTGGTATTATGGAAACTGGTGCAATTTTAATAGGTGCCAAATATACTTATATAGGTACAATTAGTACCTATTAAAACTGTATTAATACTCTGCAGTTTTAATACACATTTCTTATGATTTTTCAAAAGGGGGAAAATGTATGATTGTGGTAACTCTTCACTATGACGCAGGGGTGAGTCAAAATTCCTGAAAATTTCTTGTGTAAAATCATTAATGACGCATTTCAATTTAATGTCTTTCTAAATTTAAATCATTGATATTTTTAAAACATGAAATTCTAATATATATGCAGCATAATTTAGATGAATAATTATGAATAGGTTTACTTTTATCTCTAATCACATTTATTATTCTACCAGAAGAAGTATTTACAAATGAAAGAGATGCAAAGTATAAATTCTAGTACTAATATTTTTAAATAAAATATACAAGAATTTTTATTTATAAATGCGATCGATAATTTCTCGAAACTTCTGGATCTCGGATTTCCGGATCGTGGTTAGAGAAAAATCCGGATTTTTTTTTACGGACCACAATCATCTCTGATCATGTGTTGGCTTCAAACAATAGCATCATGCCAAAAAGATACTGATCATATTTATTTTGAAGGAATGAATTATTAAGAAGGTTTGCTTGCCGCCACCAGCAAGAACAAAAAACAACAAATAGAATTATTTTAGCTTGATTAATTGTGTTCAGTTTCAGTGATGTTCAGTACTGATTTATTCATTTCTTTTCCCTGTGCAGAGCATTCAGCTACTATTTAATCCACATCACATCATCATAGACAGCAGTGTTTTCCTACATTTTATCACAATGCAAAATATATTTACATAACATATACATGGAGGACTCTCCCAGTTACAAAACTCATTAAGTATTGCTTTTTAAGATAAGTAAATTATACCGGAAAATACTTATCAAGTTTTGCAATGGGATAATTTGCGCCAGTAATAAAATATAGGGAATCTACACGCATTAACCAATAACAAATATGTATTTACAGTAATTTCTTTGCTGGATGGAGTTCTTTTGGGCAATTTAAAATAATAGTCCTTAAAGCAATCAGCAATCTGACGAGATACTCTCTTGACGCATGCACGATCCCAATGACGATGATCAGTAGCTTTTTCAGGTTCAACTCTAGCTGCATTGAAGAAAAAAATTTCAATTACATAATTAAATAGAATAGAATCACTAAAATACAAAACAATGAAATTTCTAAATTCAACAATCATCTATGACATGTGTAAGACAATTTAATTATTAAAAGTATAAACAGGATTGTGATTGAACAGGAAGAACAAGATTGCGTATAGGACCTTCAGTCCCATCTATTGATTTATTTTCCATGTTCAGAACATGATAACCAACCAAAGAACAAAATTGAGATTTCTTCGGGAAGAAATCTATTTCTTCTAGGACAATGGGAAAAAAACGAAAAAAAAGAAGTAGAAAATACTGGGAAAGTAGAACAAGCTAAAAACTGCACAACTTGATTGTTAAATAAGTGCTATAAGGACTGATTAAATTAATAATTAATAAGGACTGAATAAATAAACTATTATACTACAAGGAAGTTAAGTTTCACGTCTACTTTTTCTTAAAATAACTATTTTCATACTGTTATGAAATCCATATAATCTGTACTAAAATTATTTATTTTAAATGGGATTCATGTTATTCTTATTCTCCAAAATAGATAAGTACACTTAGATCTTGATAAATTATGTATACTTATACTATTTTTTAGTTCATTGCATATTCTTTTATAAAAAATAAAAATAATAATAAATAAATACTTAGCAGTTAATAACTGCACACAGAATTATTTAAAAATTATTGTTTTTGTTATCTGGCCTAATAAAATAAGAACAATGCCATAATGAAACATATAGTAAGGAAAAATAATATTAATATTTATAGTAGATTTAGATAGATAATAATTGCAGATTCTTTAAAAACATTGTTTTAATGTTATTTTTCCTGTTAATTTTTTTTAAAGGCAGCAAAAGAGATAAAGGTGAGAATTTCATGCAATAATAAGAGGATATTTCAATATAAAAGGGACACTTTGAATATGCAAGATAATCAGAAATCAGAAAAAAAACTTTCTCAACAGAACAAACAGAACTTTCTGAAGAAAAAAAAATTTAAAAAATAACCTTACCTTTTCGATTTTTGGAACTTAATGTATGGGGTAGTCCCTCACTTAAAAAATATGGTCGCAATAGTTTAATCAAGTAAAAGATCAAAAGTTTGATTACTTAAATGTTATATTTATTTTTCAAACTCATTTTACAACATTCACTTATCCAAAAATTACCTAAATGATAAAATATTATTTTATTAAAGAACGATATAAAAAAATTTTAAAAAGATATAATATTCGCACCCACTTAAATAATAACAATTATAAGGTTATCTTTCTTCAACAAAAAAGCACCTTTTAAGTACTTTTTAAGCACCATATACATTAACAAAATGAAAAATAATTTTTTAAAACTTTATAATAATTAGTTTCGTTGAAATACTTAGTTTCTGACAAAGAATTTATTTCTTGATTATATTAGCCACCACAAAAAGATCAAAAAATTTGTCGGTTCGATTTTAGAGGGTTTAAAATGATGCCTGAAATTGAGAATAGTTTGGAAAATGCAGCAGAGTTGCAAACGAGAGTGCAAGAAACTCACCGAACCCAGATCAGTAGACGCACATGCGGACCTGCAAGTATTTCATCAAACATGACATAATGGGTGCTTTCATACGCTACGGATCAACGGTAAGCCAAAATGCATTGTTTGAATGAATTGTGAAAACATTGAAGAGAACAAAGTGAAAAAATAGTAAATGGCAAAAATCGGCATAGTGAAGAAAAAATCACATTTTCAAAATGGGAAAATTAAGCACTTTTTTTAAAAAAAACAATAAAAAAAAGCACCTTTAAGAGCTTTTAAAAAACAAAACTTGAAACTAAGCACCATTTAGCACTTCTTAAAAATGCTACAAATGAATTTTTGTGTCATTAACAGGCAAAAAAATTTTTTTGCAGGAAATATAACTATAAGTTGATACTTTTGAATTCCCGCACACAGCAGACTGCAGTCTAGAACGTGGTTACACCTTTAAGCCTTGAGGATTAAAAACATTGAATAATTGTTTCCTTCATTAGAGAAAATACTTTGATTACATAAAATTAAAATATTTAAGAAGTAGGAAATTCCTATTATTAGATTTATTCTCGGAGTTGTGCTTTTCTGTAGAGAAGAACCATCAAGTAACATTTGTTTCAAATAGACATATTGTCATAAAACTAGATTGCAACCAAAAACGTACTTTATTGTTATGAACATTTCTAATGGATGAGACTTACTGTGTTCACTCTCTTGCAATTTCCAAGGTATGTACTGCGTAGAGGCAAATTGAATAGCTAAACAAGGAGGGGGCCACTGATCCATAAAATTCACTGGTATTATCATTTTTCCCAGTACATCAGCTAATTTAACCTGAAAATAATAATCATTCAACAAAACAGTCACTTAAGAAGTTTTAAAAGAAAAATAATTCATCTATTTCTCTTGATATGTCATCCAAAGAAGTCAATTTTATCCCATTTACAGAAATCTCACATAAAAAAGGCTTATATTAAAACAATAGCAATTCATTTCCTAAATTTAGAATATACGAACATCGTCTTAATTCGACAGTAGGAAAAAGATTTAACAAGTGATGAAATTTTTGAGGAGCAAACCTCAAACCTGATACGTATAGATGACACATACAATCTTTATGTAACTCAACAGTCTGAAATAATATTTCTCATTTCATAATATTTACTTCTAAACAAGATATTCCTGGCTGATGCAAGATGCTCATTATAGCAGTTGTAAGAATTTAAATTTTCCAACGAATAAATTCGGTAAAAGAATATGAAATTTTATTAGCAATTTTCAATTAAGATATTAAACACTAATACAAAAATTATTGAAATAGTTTGACAAACAGAAAGTAAAAAAAAGTTAGAAATAAGCTATTTCTTTTGTGCGCGTCACTTGAATCTAAATATAAGTTCTACTAATTTTACATTTGTTATTGACATTTAGATTTTGATTATCATTAGAAGGAAAAGAAGAGAAAATGATAAAACTTTATTTTAGGGACGTAACGAATATTCAGCCACTGTTTAGTACTCAGCTCTTTCACCGAATATTCAGTAAGCTGGATGTTTATCCATATAATTTTTTTTTACTATACATTATTAGAAATAGTTTTTGCACAGATTTTTAAATTTCAAAATAGTTGATCTGAAAGACAAATGGAAAAGGAAAATTTGAAGAATTGAAACTTTATACTAAACTATGAGTTTTGTACAGCTGATTATTATATTCATGTAAGTCATTTTTTTGTAACACTTTTTGTTTAACTGATTCCCTTGCCCCTTTTTTTGAAGAAAAAAAATGCAAAAAAATCAACCTATTTTTTTAAATTTCATTTATAAATACAAGAAACTAAAACAAAACATAATACACAAGTTTTAAGTTGAAATTTAAATTTTTTTTTAATGAGTAAAAAAATATTTAATTTACCTTCAGTTTATTATCCCAAATTATCTCGGGCAAATGAAAAAAGATAAATATTAGTCCTTGTATATGTTCACATCATCTGAAACATCATTTGCATTACTTTCGCTCGCGGACACCATTCTTTTTACTCTTTTTTCTATGTAAATTCATCCACCAATATATAAAATTGTACAAAACACGTCTACAGTCCCACAAATAGCAAAGCTCCCAAGCAAAGATTATCATTATTTTTTGCTTTGCTTTCAGTCAATAAAACAAAATGTATTGACAAAATTAAGCTAAGTCCGAGTTTACTCGAGTAATAAATATTTGTAATTTAGATATACCTGAGTTAACTCTGGATAATCAGAGAAGCGGTTAAAAAAGTGAAATTTTTTTCTGCTTTTGCTATTTCAATTGTAGCTCAACAGTTTAATAGATTTCATTGTTTCTTTTTTCTTGCATGGTAAGACAGACAACTGGTAACATATACATATATATATATATATATATATATGTAATACAAAAATTAAATACTTTTGTATTAATAAAAGAATTAAAACTCTTTCGTTTTCATAAAATGTCTTTGTTAAAGAATAAGCGTAGAGAGATTCTATTTTGGGAATTCAAGGTTGAAAACATACCATTGAAATATAAATAGATTTATATTTCAAAGGAAGAGTTATTTTTAGAATCGTTCCCTTTTTCAATTCCATATAAGGAAGCAGAAATGATTTTCCTTAATGCGTAAGGTTACAAGGAATGTACGAAGGTGCCTTTTTACTTCAAATTTATGTTGGTATAAAACGTAAGAACGCATAGTTTTGCGTGTCCTTTTCATCATGATTTGATCCTGATAAGCTGTTCCGGGATTGTCCGGAGTCTTGTCCACTCCCCCTCCTTTGCAGGAGAGGGGACGTGAATTGTTAGCAACACCAGCCAACATTTAAATAAACCTGTTTAGAACGTATAATGGCTTAAGACTGCAATTATTTAAACTAAATACAACACTGATAACAGGGTTGGAGCCCTGTTATTACATATATATATAACTCTGACTCATGATGTTAATGTCATACTTCAGAACGAAGAAGAATTATTTTTTACTTCTGATTATCTTTTGCTCTTTTTTTATCAGCGTTTTTATTATGCCAGCAGTTTTTAAAGATTGTTTTTAATAAACGTTGTTCTTTTATAGTCACTTTTTTCTAAAAATATGGAAATGTGAAAAAGTTAAACTGAGATTTGGCCTAAAAATGAAGAAAATTTTTTGTTTTGGTTTCTATTTAGCTTCTCCCATTTCAATTTTAGATTTTGTTTTTTCATAGATTTTTTTATTACGACGCGACAATTAAAAGCCTTTCTATTAAACTTTTTTTTCACTTTTTCTAGAAAAAACAGTAATAAGAAAACAAATATTTAACTTTAAATTTCTTTCGTATTTTTATTTTTTCTGTTTTGTTTTTAGATAAACTTTTTATGTGCACTTTTGTGTGCTGCATTTTTAAAAGAGTTTCTGATAGACTATATCCCTTATTAATGCGTTATGGATACTTTTTTATTTCAGAAAATATTTTTTTCAAAATTTAAGTTTTTTTTTTAAGAACTACAAAAATATTTCTTCTATTTTTCTTTTTTTTTTTAATAGCTGTTAGTCTTTTTATATATCGTAAATAATTTTAATTATCTTAATATTTAATCATCTTTATCTTTATATTTGTATTAGGTTTTTTTCCCCTTTATACCCCATACCAATAATATAGCTAAGTTTTGATTATGTTCCAATAATGTCCAAACTAATTTATATATAAAAATTATTTAATAATGATGTTGTTGTTTTTTTAAATGTTGCTAATTGGCTGTCCTACTTTATTTATATCTAACCATAATTTAGTTAGATATTTTAAATTTTGAGTTGAATTTCTTCATTTTTTTCCCACTACATTAAATATATTTATAATTTTTTTTTTTTTAAAAAGTAGCAAAATTTTATTTAAAAAAGTTTACAAAAGCTACAGGGTATCTGCTACATTTTAGATTTTCCAATTCACGACTTTCCACGACTAATTCCAAGAGTTTTTCACGACTTAATGAAGTAACTATTTTCTCAGACAAAAACACAACAATAAATTTAAAAAAGCATTCTAATAACATTCATTGAAATGATAGGCATAACTAAAACTGTTATACTCTGCATCTTCATAGATTTCAAATTTAAAAAACAGAGTAAAGAAAGAGCAATAAAATAGCTGAAAAAAATACAAAAGCAAATAATTTTTTTTTTCTTTTTTGCAGAATTATATTCTAAAGATAATTTTCTTGTTCATCCGAAAGGAAAGAAATACCCCTGATTTTTCTACTCTCGGAATAAAAACAATTTACCAATGCCTGGCTTGCTTCAGCCAGAATTCAAAACAGATAAAATAAAAGTAATAACAAAAATTCTGAAATCACAGAAGTTAAAAAGATAATTCGCTTTAGAAATGTTTTTTCTTTCATTCTTTGAAAGAACGGCATAATTTTTAAAGAACATGATAAAAACATTTCATAATTTAATAAAATATGACTGAGTGGGGATTTTGTTACAAATTCAGATAAAAATCATGACAAATTTTGTTCAATGCCGAAATACATGACTTTTCAAGATACCCTGTATACAAGTTTGTATGCAAAACATTTAAGTAAATAATTTTAGAGATGCTTAAATGAAATGGTTAATACCTCTCTGTTAGTCCATTGAGTTTTTCCATACATTGGTGTGATGAGTGGAACAAAAAGAAAACAATGTGTGACAGCATGATTCAAAGCATCTTGCCAATCAGAACCAGTTTTAATTTCATGAACATCCTGTGTGGAGATAAAAACACTTCTATTACTGAGTTTGCATAAAAGATTCAAGTACGCTGTCATCCAATATCATTTGAAAGAGACAAAACAATGAAAGTAACTCATATTAATCTAGTCTAAAGCACTACTTAAAATAAAAAGGAGAATCTTCATTATTAATACCTTTACTGGTAGCCTTACTTCAGTATTGGCTTTATGTAAGACTGTTTGATACACTGAAACAGAATATTTGCTCTGCTATTGATCTTCCCTTGTTACATTCTATTGCTAAATACCAAAATAGTTTCTATAAATTGTGATCAAAAAATATATTGCTGTCATCATTTTGTCCTATTTCTTCCAGGAAGAAATAACAATGGCCAATACAATTTTTTTTCAATAACACTAACTTACAGTCCCTGGCAAATTATTAGACGATTCTATGTAAAATCTACTTATCAGGTGATACTATACAACTTTATTGTTTTTACACGAGAGAAACCGGTTTGCACTTTTTTATCAATGGGTTAACATTGTAATGCAATACGTTTAAAATAATTACAAATAGGAAGTATATAAAAAATCTCCTGAATAAAAACCCATTACATATATGTTTAAATATAAAAGTATTGCATATTATACTCGTGCAAAACATGTCATTATTAAAAACATTTAACATTGTAATGCAATACGTTTAAAATAATTACAAATAGGAAGTATATAAAAAATCTCCTGAATAAAAACCCATTACATATATGTTTAAATATAAAAGTATTGCATATTAAACTCGTGCAAAACATGTCATTATTAAAAAAACTAAAGCGCGTCTAATAATTTTATCTAATTATAGTAATACTATACTAATATAATGCGTGATATAATTAATATTCTATATTTATATAATAAATCATCTAATTTATCTTATCGTCAAATTTACATTATATATCGCCTAATTTAACCAATGGATACACTAACGTAAACAAGAGCAAACCGCGTGAAAACAATAAAGCTGTTTTGTATCACCTGATAATTATGATTTTACATAGAATCTTATAGTGTGTCTAATAATCTGTTAAGGGACTGTAGATCTAAACAAATTTATTTCAATATCAAACATTTTTTAACATCTATTTTTCCATAGTTTCAAACAGAATTTTAAAATCACATTATTTTAGAGTCAAACTTAATATTACTCGATTATAAATGCTACTTGTACACTATTTGGGACTGCAGATTCAATATGTGGTTTGTATTAGTGTTTATAATTATTTTAAATTAGATTGTGCTTAAAATTTTTTTTTAAAAATTGTAGGAATGTTTGATATTTCATTTAGAAAAAGGTTGGAAAAATCATTTCTGTTTCCTAGCTGATTGTCCATAATTTTGAACACTTTACTTATTTTTGGGTGCCCGTCAATCATTTATTTCTTCTTGAAGGTCCCGAGAATCACATTTTAGTTAAAAAATATACAACTATCGTAGCTTTATGTAAAAATATTTATGTTACCTAATTGAAAGGACCTAGATTTGGAAAATGATAAGATGTATTTGAATTAACCTAAGGTGGTTGCAAGACTCAATTAGAAGAAAGAAAAGAGTTTTACTCGCTGAGGAGAACAATTCAAATACTGTTTTTATGAAAAAATTTTAAGTTTCTTTTAATCTTTAAAAGTTTAAATATGAATATTAAGATTTATATCTGGCAACATGTTAAATGTGTCTCTTTTTCTTTTACAACTTTTAATTGATATTTACTCAAGTGTGCTCTAATAAAATAAAGATCTCGTGAATAAAAACTAAATTTTCAGCATTAACTTTTTGAAAGTTTTAAAATTATAATACAAAATGGCCCTACCAGCATGTCCAATTTGAACTCTAGTTGCATTTTAGTGAATCGATCAACATTGTTCATTGTTTTTTAACTACAGTTGATAATTCTGAAACTAATGATCAAAATTAAATTTTTTATATTCCATCGTATACTCTATACTTTTTCTACATACCTTTATAATTTCAAAGTCTTATAGATATTGAGCAGCTAAGCAAAGTACAACATTAAGCAGAAAAGGAGAAGAAAAAAAATCTTAAAATTTCAATCCCTTTCAAACGAGTTATTAACACCAAGTTGCTTTCCTGCTACCTGGTCTGTATAATACTTTTTTTTAACACAAACAGTTAATAAATCTAGAATCAAACGTTAAACTCTTGTCGCAATCTTTCGACACACCTCAGTCATTTCACGTTGCTATGTTGACAACAAAACAAAATGAACACCCATAGCTGCCAACATGGATAGGAAAAATCCAGTAGATTTTACATAATATAAATTTCCTGATAATTGTGGCATAATGTACTAAATATTTTAGGGAATTTTAGAGATCTTTATTATCATCAGAATAGAAAAACTGCAATAATTTCCAGTTATGATTGATATTAAACATACTTGAAATGTTATGTATTAAGTTTACTCATAATTTTGATTAATAGACATTTAATTCATCAAAGTTGGTTAAAAGTTTTGTTTTAATTGATTTACAAAAGAGAGTTCGGAATAAAAAATAAACTGAACATTTAAGAAAAAAAAAGTTTGAAATGATTTTTATAAATGAGGTTCGTTTCATTACGTATTAGTAATGCTTATCTAAATACTCAAACAATAATCCGTACAAAAATCCTATTCAATAGGGATTTTTTTTTAGAAAACTTTCCCCATTTTAGGGAATTTACTAAAATGTAAAAAAACCAGGAAATCAGTAGAAACTGGCAATAGAGTTGGCAGCTATGAATATTCAAAAGAGCATCACTTAATATAGAGAGACTAATTATGTAATTTCATAAATTCAAGAGAAAAAAAGTTTCTGAAAAATGAGAAGAATAATGAGTACCAGGTATACACTGAATCCCAAAGTGACCAGTTCTTGTTTCAAGTCTAGGGCATACTGGGCAGCTTCTGCTCTTACATAGCTGATCAGAATGGGTCTGACTAAAGAGTTTTTTCCTATTCTTGGTCTTTTATCACTGCTTCTTAATTTGATTGAAAATTGGCTTTCAGGTCTGAAAATATACAGTTTAAATACAATGTTTTACTATCATTTCAATCAACATCACATCCAAGAGTGAAAACTTACTGCTGTAGGGAAAGACAATCTATTCAAAAGGTACCTCAACATTGAATCAAGTTAGCATTACACTAGTCAATTGATGTTTAATAATCATAGTGGTAATTACGCCACAATACTCCCCCCCCCACTAGAATTTTATCAGGGATAGAATTCGATGAACGGATACCACTAATTACTGTATTTGTGAAAGACCGGGAGGAGAGATGGTTTAAAGTCACCGGGTTTTCTTTAGCCATGAGAGCGGTATTAAGTGTAGGGTTGTGGTCACTCCTGCGTTGCCACTAAAAGTCGAGTGTGTGCAGAAACCAGTTGTGTGTGAGACTGAGAAGCATCAGCGTGAGGAGGACCATGTCGCAGTCACAAAGTAGAAAGACGACTGTTGTACGTGGACCATTCATCGAAATAGGCGTGATCATATCACCAATGTGGGGGCTAGATCATTAGACAATGCGAACCTTCATCTATCAAAAGGTAATTATTTAAAAAAATTTTCAACTTTACTTGATCATTACCATTTTGTTAAAATCTTTTTTCAGTGACCGTACAAGTTGGCAGGTGTGTGTGTATATGTATATATATAGAGAGAGTATGCATGTCAGAAGGCGTAACCCCCTCCAAACATACAGTAAAACTGTGCCACTGCTTGCAAATGTAAAATTTTGTTTGACAATTCTCTCTAGGTGTTCTAATTTTTGGCAATTATATGTAAAATCTTTTTTTAAACAAAATCATACATGTTTTCCTTCTGCCTTTGGATAACTTGACCAGTTCGTGCCTGAGTGTGCATGTTATAAACAGAAACATGCATTTAATGTTAAAACAATAAAAAATTAAATACACATTTTCCTTTTACTTGAATAACTAATTTAATTTAAAATGAAAAAAAAAACTGCTTCTGCTTACAGATTGTAGACTGGACTAGGAGTCAATTACAATAATTGACATTATTGATAACACTGAATATTAATTCCAATAGCAGGCTGTCAAGAAAGGAAATAAAGGTGGTCAACAAAAGGTAAGTTTTTTTCTTTCTTTCATGAAGTGTACAGAAAAATTTCAACTGTAAAGAAACTGTAAAGAAACTTCTTCTGTAAAGAAACATAATTTGGTCAAAGGTAAACATAACGTCATAAGCATAATAAAATTAGGCTTGTTTTTTCCATTTCTCTAACGATAACACACATAAAAATGTGTTCCAATTGTTTTTAATCCTTCTTCATTCATAATCCCTCCCCTTTTTTTATGTACAATCTTGATCGCTTGAACAGTAAAAAATTTATTTATCTCAAAGAGAGAAAAATATTGCAGTAACAGCAGAAGACTTGTCATTTTTTGTATCTTTAATACTAGCATTTTGATGGTGGCTTGGAAACTTCCTTAACATTCTGTACCTGTTACATTGAGCTTTCACTGTCATTTACATATATAAAAATATGTATTTTTCTAAGAATGCCAGCCTATTCCTCAATTAAATATGAAAAAAATAGGTAGAACTTAATATAAAAAAACTAATAAATATATTCAGGGTGCATAGCCAAATCTTTCAACAAAAAATAAACACCTTTTCAGTAATTTTTAAGCACTCAAAAATTATTTTTAAGCACTATATACATTAACGAAATGCAATATAATTTTCAAAGACTTTACATGATCATGATAAAATAATTAGTTTCTGACAAAGAACTCTTTTCTTGATTACCTTAGTCATTATAAAAAGATCGAAAGATTTTTCAGTTCGAAATCAGAAGGTGGAAATATCTTGCAAAATGCAGCAGAGTTGCACACAAGAGTGAACTAATCTCACCGAAAACAGCTCACTATACGCAGTAGTAGAATAAATCTAACATGTAAAATGACTGAAGTTTTCATACACTATGGACCGACGGTAAGCTGAAATAGACTGTGCTTGAATAAATTGTTAAAACACGCTTTTGCATCATTAGAGAAATGCAAAAAACAAACCTAATTTTATTATGCTTATGACGTTATGTTTACCATTGACCAAATTATGTTTCTTTACAGAAGAAAAATTTTTCTGTACACTTCATGAAAGAAAGAAAAAAACTTACCTTTTGTTGACCACCTTTATTTCCTTTCTTGACAGCCTGCTATTGGAATTAATATTCAGTGTTATCAATAATGTCAATTATTGTAATTGACTCCTAGTCCAGTCTACAATCTGTAAGCATAAGGATTTTTTTTTTTTTTTTAAACACGGGGCAAAAATTGACACGGCGAAGAAAAATATTTCATTTTCGAAAAGGAAAAATTAAGCACTTTTTAAAAACACCCAATATAAAAAGCACTTTTAAGAGCTTTTAAAATTGAAAATAAGCACCTTTACGCACTTTTTAAATATACTACCCACCATGATAAAGAAATATGATTGGAAATAAAAGAAACAAGGCATACTTACTTAAATTTAATTGACTTCTTTCGTTTCACCAATTCTTGCTCCCCAGTAGTGCTTTCTTGAGGACTAGGAAGCTGACTTTCAATGGAAGTATTTGTATTATAGACTAGAGAAGTTGGCCTTTCTATTGAAACTGCTGGCTTAGAACAACAACTTTGAATGCATACAATTTGGCCTAACATTATGTCCAACAGGGAAAGGGTTGGTTCCTGCTTGGACATGACAGGCCAACCGTTTTTCTCCACAAACCTGTACTCCAACCTCATCTGTTGACTAAGTTTAAGCTGAAAGAGAAAGTTTATATTGTAAGCATGGACAAACCCTTTTGAAACCTCTGCTGAAATAAAATTTTTAAAAAATAGGGCCTTACTTGCTGTTCAATTATTTCTCGTAACTGCTTGATATTTACATTGAGATCTGCAAAAACGAACCCCATGGAATCTCCTTTGGATGTTACGACACCGATTCTAGACTTTTCTATAAAAAAACAATAAATTAAATAAACTAAGCATTTCTCAAAATCTTAAGATATTATGCTACAAATTAAATTACATAACTGAAACATAAGAAAAGATGTTTTATTAACTTCTTAAGGACCGTGACGTGTATGTGATCTGAAGGAGATCTCCTCTCACGGCACACGTGAGTCTTGCGTTAATGATGATAATGTCATTTGAATAGTTCCATGTAGATGGATTTCATGAAAATATCTCCCCCAATAAATCTATAGAAAATATCTCTTTCTTTTGGAAGAAGCATTGGATGTTTTTGACGGTCAGGAAAATTGGAATTCTTCAACCAACTCGGAGCAGTCCCCAATGAGTCAAAAAAGGGTGGCAACAGATTGCTACTTTTTGGAAGTGTCTTCTGCAGATATTCCATTTCAGTACCAAAAGCATTTTCTTGAACTATCTTCACAAGAGAATTTTTAATATTTTGTATCTCTGCAGTTGTTAAAAAGCTTTTCCAGTTGGAAGCTTGCAATTTAGATAAATCTTCCACACCAGGCAAATACTCTTTGCATCCACGATGAAATTTTATTTATGACGTTCATAAGATCAAGCTAACAGAGTCTTCCTTGCAAGCATTTATAATGTTAATGGGCTTAATTTGTTTCTCAACAAGAATTTCCACAACTAAGTGTCAGTTATTCAAAGAGATAAAACATTATTCCATTCAAACTCTTTAAAGCTCAATCAAGGTGGTCCATGCCACCATTTATATCCTTCTTTTAATTCGCTTGCTTTCCACCAATGTGTCAACAAATCAGCAGGATTAACAATACAACAGCAATGTCCCAAATTTTCTCCTCCAGTTTTCACTTTAACTTCCATTACTGTGTTCCCAACAAAGTACTTACGATTGTTAGCACACCCTTTGATCCGATATGTAAAGTCAACATCCATTCCATAAATAACAATTGTTCTTTACGTGAAAAACACTTCTCATGGAGTCTAGCACTCTTGCACCAAGGACAGCGGATAAAAGCTCTAGTCTCTGTAAAAAGCTTTATTATTAATTCTAATGATATTTATTTCTTATTTAATCAGTTTTATACATAAATATTTTCAGACCTAAAACTGTTATGTTAACTAATATTGATTTCTCTGAAGAATGATCACTTTCTAACTACTTATAAAGAATGAAACTAAGAAAAAAAAGTGTAGTTTTTAGCATTAAATTAGCATTAATTTAGCATTTCTCAATTTAATAGCAGTATTAGTGAATATTTATAACATATATACTTAATATCGATTCCCAAATGAAATGCACTAATAATTCTATGTATATGTCAGGCATTTATTTAATCTGCCATGATTTTTTTAGGTTATTTTACCTATTTTATCTAATGTATATTGAATATTTTACTAATAAGCACATATTCAGTATTGTACAAATATTTTACATGTATTTATCTGATTTATATTGAATGTTTTTCATACATGCAAAATGCGATAACAGAACTATTAATAAGCAAGGCAGGGCTCAAGCACAGAGTCCCCCACACTGGTCGTAACTTTAAACGAAATTTATTTGCTTATTCACAACATGCTGTTAAGTTATTTATTACATATGCAATTTATGATATATTAGTAAATTTAGGCTTCTTCCAATTTTTGCAAACTCATAAATCTAATAACAATAACTCTTAAGGAAAACACAAACAAAAATATATTTAATACTAATAGAAGAAAGCAAATATGAGGGGACCCTAGGCAAAGGTCTCTGAGGGCTTTTGATGAATCTGAGAAAATATTACATACTTAAAAAAAAAGAAGTCATATCTTAGTTTTGGTCATACACTTAAAAAGGCAGTAATCTATTTCATTGTAAACACTTTATACAGTAACGATTTTATCATCAGTCATTTTTATTATCACTTTGTACACCTAATAAATATTCAAGTATAAATTGCATCAATATCTGTAAAATATTTGTATAATCATTAGACATGAAAGTTGAATATTTTATAAACATTAAATAAATAATTGTAAACATCAAATGTAAACCCATTGGAAGAATATCCCCGAAAGACTTCAATCCTGCATCTTATAATGACATGATATTTTGATACGTCTGATTTATGGCCTGGTATATTATTCTAAAAAGATGTTGGGGAAATATTATCTTTGAAATTATTCAAATATTATATGATTGAAGATATCCATGGAATCTTACTTCCCAATATTTAACGATATTTCAAACGTGTATCACAACAACAATTTAATTTTAATTCATTACTATATGAGACACTTAGGGAATATCATTAGATAGATAACTGTCTCCTCACATTGATGACTTTGACATGATCTAATGTAAGGTGTCAACTATCATCTCATTGCTGACCCTAAGACCGGATCTGAACACGCCTATCTCGACNAAATTTCACATATGAATATAGGTTTTTGACATTTTCGACATTTTTGACAGTGAGGTTTTTGACGTGACGGTTTAAACCATGGTTTAAACTGTCAAAAACTGACACATGTCAAAAACCTGCCAACCCTGGATGGGACGCAGTGAAGAGTTGACTTTCCAAATATGACTGCAAACATTATCCTCCTCCCGCTGTTCCTACTCAGACTTAATCAAACACAATCGATACCTGCACACACTAGACTGCTAAACAGCAACACAGTAGTGAGCACCCCCACAACCATGATTTCAATACAACTATCAGGACCAGTGCCTAAAATTTCGATGATCTTACTACAGCACTCCCTGCCGCTCACAGAAATCAGCATTGAATCAATTAGTTGTATCCATTCATCAAATTCTATCACAGATAAAATTCTGATGGGAGAGTACTGTAGCTATTCAATTCCCGTTCACTAGTATATAAGACGCATCGACTCGATTCATCTGGTGGCACTTTTAACAATGAAAGTTTAGTAATAACTTTTGACAGTGTATAATGAACTGAAAAAGATATTGGAGTAAATGCTTTTCTGTGTTGCTGGAGTTAACAAAATTTTTTTGAAAACTAAGAGATTAAAATATTAAATTATCTTTTATCACGTCTTGGTTGCATATAAGTTTAGTGTTATCATAACATTGAAGTAACTAAGAGAAAAGAACTTACCATATTCTGTCTTGATGCAAATACAATTATCATCTCTAATAACATGACTAGAATTAATTTTATACTCCTGCAGTTTATGAATAGGCCACCTAAAATTAGAATACAGTTTCAATTTTGTTAATAAGAAAATAGTATGTATTTTCTGTTTTCATTATTCAAATTTTTGGAAAAATCGCATAAATATCTAAAGAATAATGCTAAAGTCTTGGGATGCTGCGTCATTAAAAGCTTTTGTTTCAATATCTGCATATTCAGAAAATTTTTGGCTATTCAATCTATGATTTCAGTATTCTTGTCTTCATGAAGAATATAAGTGTTATGTCTTTTACTTTTTCATCAATAACACTTGGTTAAAAAAATTTAATTTAAGTTAGTACAGAGTAATGTTTAACTGTTCTGCTTTCATATTAAATGCAATAGAAAAAACAATCATTACTGTAAATATAGTTATAATAATCCTTAGGTTAAAAATAGTGATGGAAATAATTGTCAGTTTGCCACAGTAGAATTGAAAGGACGTGAACTTCGAACTAAATAAAATAAAATTACAGTAGTTTTTTTTTTTTGTTATTGTTTTCCATATTGTTCCCAGTGGTTTCCATATAGAATTAATTCCGCAATTGAAAAAAAATTCTTTGTTACAACTGTGTCAATAGAATTTTATAAAAAATTTATTCTACTATTTTTTAACTTATGTAACCTTAACTATTCTAAACTTAAACAATTTGAAAACCTAAATAGCTCTATGTATTCCTTCTAAGGATATTTATTTCTTTATGAATCAATTTTAAAAATACACTTTTATACACAAATTATTATTATAAATCATATAGTTACATAAACAGATTTCTCAAAAGACTGAATACTTAGTGATAACTCATCAGTAATGAAACAAGGAAAAAGATAAGAGTTTTAAACACTAAATAAAAAATTTTAAAAATCTTTTCAGAGATCTTTAAAATAGCAGATATACCAACAGATGCCCCGATGAAATGCATTAATAATTCTATGCATATGACCTGGTATTTGAAACCGCAATGATTTTCTTAGGTAATTTTACATTTATTTATCTAATGTATATTTACTGACATACAATATTTTACACGCATTTATCTAAAACCAAACTTATACGTTATTTACAAAAAACTTTCTCAAGTTATGTATAACGTAAACCCATGTGGCAAAATTTCTTTGACCTTTTTGCGACAAAGCTCTCTTTCTGCAAGATTTTTTTTAATAATAACAAACATATATGTTACTTATTTAAAATAACAAAAGCGCTACGTGTTTACAAAAAAAGCTATTTAATTTTTTTTAATTGAACATGTAGCAATTTCGTATTCTAATAAAATGTGCGATATTCTCACACTTTGTTAGTGGGGGGGGCGCACAAATTATTTCCTTCGCATTTTGTAAATAATCACCACAATAAAAAAAAAAATTTAACATTTGTAGTAGTAATTGTTAAAAAAAAGATCGACCACGAAATCACACGCATCGGACTTTTCGAATAAGTCTTTCGTTTCGAGATTAGCTTGTTGTAATAAATAATATGTTATAAGAAATATCGGATTTGAAAGCTATCGAAAAAACAATAGCAATAGCAGCCAAAAATTCGATAGAATTATTGCCTTAAAAAGTAAATACTCAAATACATGATTTGAGTTTTGTATATTGTTTGAAATATATGGGAATATTTAATATCAGAAAAAAATCAATATCAATAACTGCCAAAAACACAATTGAAACACTGCACTGATTTTCGATTACTATCTGCATAAATTGAGCGTGTCAAAAGGTGATCATCTAAACGCGTGATTCAAATATTGAGTGCAAATTTCTGTTGAAAAGAAAAGTAATAAACTCTGTAACAATGTCGCTATTATTAAGCCAGGTGGATGTAAACAAATTATCATATATAAGTAAATTTTAACTTCTTTTAATTTTCATTTACTCATCTTACTAATAACAATAAAGGAAGAACACAATGTTACAAAACATATATCATTATGTGTTAAGTAAATTTTGCCATATACTAAATTAATTTAAAAAACTTGTAAATACTTTGCACCGTAATATTATTGTAATCACAAATCTCATTCTAGGCAGGGTAAACAGGGCGCAGCATCCTTTTAGTCAAAAGAATCCACCCTGTTGCCCCTGAAGTAAATTAGTGCCCTGATGTAATAGAGTCCCTTTCTTTCCTCAACCCTTCTTTATTTTTCCACCAAACTCTACAATAGATTTCTTAAACTTTTCAATGCTTTTTATTTAGTTTGGTGTTGCTGTCAATACATAGATTTATATGGGAAAGGAAAAATAGCCATTATTGCACTTATCTTTGAAAGTTTGCAGTTACTTCCACTATCATTAAATCATAATTATTAATCATTTTAATTATTATATTTAAATGAATATTTTTTTTTGTAGTTACTTGGGATCAATTATGCTACTTTTGCTTATCACAGTGGTTTAAGGATGAATAAATTACAGATTTATTGACAAACAAAACATTAATACAACACAAAATATACACATAAACATAAGCAAAGTATATTTTAGGTTTCACTTTCGCAGAAGATTTCTACAACATTTGTTTGTTGCGACACCTATCTCAGCAAATACATTGCCTCCGATTTATTTTAAAGGTTAATAAAAATATTAATAATTATTTTTTAAACAATTTTCTTCAAAACAAAAAAATCATCATTTTACAATGTTCATTACTTGATGTCAGAAAATAAAATAATTGCAGCCTTCAGTCTTGACTTGTAATATAAAAGTCAGGGCAGCAATCATAATCACATCATGTACAAATATTGCTGCTTAGCATATATAAAATACTTGTTCAATTGTATTATAGGTTAAATTACAGATTCCTTTAATGTTTTCCTCTTTTGAAATTTGTTTTCTAATATTTAAATGTTTAAAGATAGGTAATCTTTCATAGAAAATACAAAAAAAAACGTCTACAGCAGAATTTCTTATTTTAAATATGCAACACAACTCACAGCAGAAATAAGTGTTGAATCAAAAATGTGTTAAAATTGAATCTGAGGTGAATATTACAAAAATTTAAAATTATGTATAGTATGCAATAAATGAGAAGAAAATAAGGTTAAGTGAAAGAGAGGGTCATGAACAGGTACTCCTGAAGATATAAATACTGGTGCAAAATTATTACAAATCAAATAGTTACTTTTGTAATTTTGCCAATTAATGTAAGTGAGTTGATTTAATTTAACAAGCCCTGCCTCCCATACGTCCTTGAAAATCAAAGCAAAAAAATAAATAAATATTAGACAAATGGAATTGAAATATTGCTCACCCATCTCTAGTTAAAAAATTAAACGAGGCAGGTAAACAAGGAAGTTCCGTACACATCAAACGACGTAATTCTTCTAAATTAAGTTGGGTATTTTCAGTACATACAGTGCCTAGAACAACATTACGGCTATCCGCACTGACATTTACTTTACCTACGGCCCGATCATCCACAAGTAGAATGCCAATTAATTCCATTGATTTCTTTCTTTCATTATTATATTCAGATGAAAAGTTTCGAAGTTGTTGTTCGTGTATATTCGCTACAAGCACGACACTGTCAGTTTTTGTAGCGAAATCATTCGACGATTGTGGCACACCGGGTGCCATGGAATGCTGGTAACACAGCTGAGGAAAATCGCCAAACATCGGAAGAAAAAATTTTCACATAGTTTGGAAATGAAAAATATTCCGCCACACCTGTAAGGATCAAAATGCTGTGATTTATCACAATCCTATCTTGTTCAGTCTTGATTGTACGGTTGATAATTCCTCAGCAGGCGGTAAAAAGAGAGAAGTCCCTCCTCATTCGAGTGGAACGAATTTCCATTGCGTTCGTCTCTTTTGGTGTAAAGTGATATAAGAGACTGACGATCATCATGCAATAGATTGGCAAACTTGGCATCTATGCTTGGCGTAGAAAAACTATTGCGTTTGTCGCCAATTTCGCTTGATTTGGGATGAAAGAATGAATAACAATTTAGAAATTACTGCAAGAAGTTATTGAGTTACAAGCATCTAGGGGCAAGACGATTCCTTAATACTAACCAAAATAGAAAAATCAGAATGCAAACGAAAAGGAAAAATTTTACTGGCAGCAATATTTACTTTTTAAAATATATCCAAAATTTAGCAATAAATTTTGGCAGAGTTCTCTTCCTTAATTTTTTTTTCTACCAAATGTAGGTAGTAAATAGGTATTATAAAATCAAATACTTATAAATAGTAAAAAAGAAACGGAGTTCTTAATAGGGATTTCAATGTGCAAGATTTTTTTTTTTTTTTTTTTTTTTTAATTTTGTGAGATTGTTCTAATGTGAAATTGTGATAAATAAGGGGGTGGGGGAAAGGCGCTTCTAAGAAGTTTGACATCACATATTCTGGTTAAAATAAAAACCCTTAAAATCACCCGTTTAAATATACTAACATTATTTAGTTTTATATTTTTTCACATCTTTTATAATTTGAAATTTGAAGCGATGTTAACGCTGTGATATGCGCTGTGTGAGTTTAGATTGCATAGATAAAGTTTTAAAGTAAAATTTTAATTATGATGTAGAACTGGCAGTTTTATTTAGTGCACTAGAGCTGCACAGTGTCATATTGGCGACGTCCTGGGAAACATCCCTGAGGATGATCCGGAGACAACACAGTTAAATCCTTTTTTACAGGGAGGACACATTCACACACCATTCCATTTGTAACTTAGACTTGAACCAAAGCACCATCCATTTCCTATCCACTACCCCCAGAGATATTAATTTTTAATGGGAACTTGGATGACTTTGTGACCCAGACAGATTTAGCGTACACCAGTCTCCATTTTGTGCACTCAGAATCTTCGGAAGGAGAGAATCGATCGTATGGGCCTGAGGAGAATTAATTATCGACTATGTCAACCTTCGTCTATCAAAAGGTACATCAAGATGGAATCAAGTTAAGATGTCTTATATACTGGCCCAACGCCCTAATAGCTAGGCTATCAAGACCCAATGCGTCGTGAAGTGCTCTAAGGGGATCAAAGAGTGTTTTTATATGGAACATCATTTATGAACATTGAACAGCCTCATTTTAGCTCCTTTACAAATTTTATAGACATTCATTTGCTGGTGTTATTTGGATACCTTTGAATGCGATATAAGGAAGCAAATGAAGTCATTCATCCCATCGTTATTTCCCTCTCTTTTCTGACCTCACATTTATCTAAAAGATCATTTAAATAATCGTCATTACATATACATGGTGCATTGCTTTTTTAAAAAATGCTTAAAGGTGCTTCGATTTCGTTCTTTTTTCATTGGGGGCTTTTAAAAAGTGTTCAATTTTTCCTCTTCGTAAATTAAATATTTTCTTTTCCATGTCGATTTTCGCCAAGCGTGCTTTTTACATTGTTCTACTCTACGTTTTCACAATTCAGTCAACCACAATCCATTTCAGCTTACCGTCGGTCCGTAGAGTATGAAGGCGCCAACCATTTTACATGTCTGATAAAATACTTACGAGTCTACTGATCTGGGTTCGGTGAGATTATTGCACTCTCCTCTGCTGCATTTTTCAAGATATTCTCCATTTCAGACTTCATTTTCCACCCTCTGATATCGAACCCAGAAATCTCTCGATCATTTTATCATGGCTAATATAATCAAGAAAAGAGTTCTTTGTCAGAAACTAGTCATTTTATCATGATCATGGAAAGTCATTGAAAATTATTTTGCATTTTGTTAATGTATATAGAGCTTAAAAATATTTTCTACGTGCTTAAAAAGTACTTAAAAGGTGCTTATTTTTTGTTAAAGGATTTGGCTACGCACCCTATATCTATACTATGTATATATACGCTTATAAATATATATACGCTTATATATATATATATACGCTTATACATATACCATTATATACAAATACTTATATATACACGTACCTATATATATACACCTATATATACATATACCTATATATATACTCTTTTTTTCAAAAGTGTAAGTGCTTAAATTTTTTTCTTCTTTTTTTTCTTTTTTTTTTTTTTTTTTTTTTTTTTTTTTTTTTTTTTTTTTTTTTTTTGCTTTTGGGGTGGGGCATTTTCTAGCACGTCCACAACTGACAGAAAGAGAAAAATTGATAGTTTGTTTTAGACCAATCTTAGTGGAATGTTATTTTAATTTGAATTTCCCAATCAGAATGATAAATGTCTGTGTAGAGCACATAATAAAAAGGATTTTCTTTCTTTATTTAATTCCTTGATTTTGAACTTTTTAAAACAGATGATCCGGATATTTTGGTTTTAATATTTTATCGAATTTTTACTGATTCAATAAGGCAATTGTATTTTTATTCTAATCATGAAATATTTATTTTCAAGGGGCACATTAAAGTCCAAATTTATATCATTTGTGATAGAAACCCGCTTTTGACAAAAATAAATGAATTAAAAATAAGTAATTTGAAAGTTTTAGATTAGAAGTCTGCTGCAATCCACATTATTTAGCTTAATTCCTTTTTAAATTTTTTATGTCTTTAATTTGGCTTAATTTTGTTTTTACTTTTGTCTGAAATTTCGCGTGTTACAGCGTTTAAATTAAATTCATTTTAATTAGATTGAATGCGGGGTTTAGTAAAACAAGATGTCCTAACCTTAGAATTTCGTATCGATCAGAACTGAAATTACTCAAAAAACTGTATTTGCTAAATAACAACACAAATAAAAGTTTAACGCATATTTTTCCATTTATTTCAAAAACAAATTGTCACAATTTGAGAAACGTATAATTTCTTTTTTTTTCTTTTTTTTGTCATTGAATTTTTTATTGCAAGTATACCGGGCAGTGGCATACAAACGTAATATATATCTATATATATATCACTGTAGAGTATACTAGAGTATGTATATAGAAATGTTTTAAATAAATTTATTTTTAATTGAGTAAAAATAATTTAATTTTAAAATCCTCATTTGTACTAAAATAAATTGAAAGATTACATATTCTCAGCTATTTATAAGTGAAACTTTGTTTATATTTTTCTAAATTAAAAGTAATATAAATGTTTCACTTTTGAATTGTAAAAAAGATGTTTAAATTTTCAATTTACAATTATAAAAATTTAAAGGACTCATTTTAAAATTATAAGATAAGTACAAAAATCTGAGCTAAAAATAGAACCATGCATGTACAATCAAATCTAACTTGCTAAATAAATAAACTTAATGCACAATACAAATATTACATACAAATATATATGAATTAATACAAATATTTGCTTACCTCCAAATGAATCAATTTGTTTGAAGTGTGTCTATTTAAGATGAGAAGATGTCACATTTTGTTTGAATAAAGATAAATTAATAAAATTAAAAAAATTTGAATAAAACCTGTAACACGCATGATAAATCAAATTAATAGCCTTCAGTTAAAATACGTAATAATAAAATTGAATAAAAGAAACTTCTTATAAGGAAACGAGTTTTAAATTGGAAACGTTTACATTGAAAAGCCGGAGGTCCCGCTGTGAACTGACAGTTAAGACACGGTTCCCAGCTGATCACCGAAGTCAAGCATTACTGGCTGCGGTCAGTGTGCGGGTGGTTGACCACTTGGATCAGTCTGCGTAGGGACCGAGGGTGTGCGGTATTGGTCCTCGTTAAACTGTTCTACCGTAAAGAGCTTGACTTCGCGCGCAGGTCGTCGGGCTACCGAAGCGGGGGTGCCACCCCCTCTGCAGAGGATCAAAATTGTGATGGCATATTTTCGGATCATGCTCAGAGATGTTTCCCAGACCTTCGCCAATAGCCCATTGTGCAGCTCTAGTGCGACGTAAATGAACTGCAATAACAACAACAAAAACTGGAGGGAAAAAAATATGGTAACGCTTTTGCAGTGACTCAGTGACTGACTAGAGAGAGAGACTTCCTCTTAAGAGGTTGATCTAAACATTCCTGCAACAGCCCGCTGTGGTTCAGAGGGTCATGGAGGTCCACAATTTTGTGGCCATGATTGTGGTCAACACTGTACATCCCAGACAAGCTGGTACTCATCGATCTGAAGCTGGGAATCGAACCCCAGTTCTTCACAATGACACTTCAGTGCCATTGAGCCATCTAATATATTTATTGTCCTTGAAATTCTAGATAATTTTTTGTTTGCGACAATTTATGACAGTGACAAAGAATTGGATCTATCCAATATTTTGAAACGTAATAGAAGGATTGAAAAAAGAGTAATAGATAAGAGAGNCAATATATATATATATATAGATATCACCATACGGTTTACGTGTAAACCTTCTAACCTTAAAATGCAATGCAATTTGATCCTATCACTCGTGTGTCGTCAGCTAAAACGTCATTATAGAACTAAGTGACAATACTTTTAAAAAAAGCTTTAAAAAAAGATTTTTAATTCCTTTAGGATGAAAGGCTTGAAACTGCAATTTTTTTTTTTTGCTTTGCTAAAAAAGGGGTTTTTAGTACAAACATTTTGGTGAGAATGAAGAGAAAATTCGGAAACAAGATTGCCGTAAGATTGCATGCTATCTGGGTTGTGATACTTGCATCATTTATTGTTCTTTCAGACTCATAAAGCTGTTCCCATTTTCAGAAAATAAATTATTGTTGCTGTAGTTTCGGTAGAGGAAATTAATAATAAGAAAAACTACCTTACCAACAACTTCAACAGATTTCTTCCCATCAGGCTTATGCAGAAGATGTATTAATAGATAGTGTAGTTCACCTGGAAGAAGAGAATTTGATTCTTTGCCAAATTTAAAGAAGAATGAAATCTGGACATTCTCTCTAAAAACATAAATCATCATTGAGTAAATTTCGGAAAATAGAAAATGGTAAATTTTATACTAATTTTTTTTTCAAAAAAAGAAAAAACTCTATTTTTTAATTTTTGAATAATTTTGTTTTGTTTAAAATAAAAAGTTTTAACAGTTTCCAGATTAACTTTTTTAAA